AAATGTGACTTGACTTTTTTCCCTACGACGCGGTTTTTCTTCACTAAAATTTAGATTTCATATTAACATAACGAGTAGGTAGTAGGTAGCTGTACAATCTAATTTTTTACATGAGTCACCTTTTGATGAAATGTCATCAGTAGAATAAAATTATCATTTAAATTCTGAACGTAGATGCAAGCAATCATAAAAGTAAAAACTCATTTCAATTAGGTGCAAGTAAAACAAAAAATCTTATCCGAGCTACCACAAAAAATGGGCAAATTAAAACCTATCAACGAAACGGGAGACGAAAATTAAAACTTTTTCTTTGAACTTCCAACTGAAGTTGCACGACATAAAAAGAGTTCAGAATTTTCTCCGTTGCACTTTCATTTAACTAATTATACGGTCGGCAGGACTTCAAATGGTTTACAGTTTGGAAAAATTCTTGAAAATCCGGGAGACAATCAAAAATGTGATTGGCGTAGTCATTTTTTGGGTTATAAATATGTATGTGGATGCACACCCGCCGTGACATCAAAGGGTGCTGGAACAAGGGCGGGCTTCCAGATTATTCGCTGACGCTCGTCTCATTCCATTTGCGAAATTTATTTTCCCACAATCTTCACATAGACGCGGCTAAGTCTCGGGGCGGGCCGTAAAGAACTCGCCCTACCCATACGATTGCGATTTATACGAAATTGAAATAACTCGACGACATTAAATTATGTTTTCAACTGCAGGAAATTCAAAATCCTCACGAGTTCGCTGAACGTTTAATATCTGCGTTCGGAATTGCCTTCGATTTTCAACTGGAATCGTTCAGATTAAATGGGCAATAAGAAAATGATCGTTTTAGAATTCTATTTGAAGCTTATTTTTATTTTGAATTTAATGTGTTTGTAAACATTTTACGGTCTTTAAAAGTACCAACATTGAGACTTTTGTACGTGACATAAAACATAATGTAGTGTAGGTACCTGCTACGGTATATTATAACGCAATTTAATATGCATTCGGCAATAATATGCCTTCTACTTTCTTATACCTTCTACTCCCTATTCATAGTTCTATGTATAGTAGGTATAAAAAGTCTAGAGTATAAAATTTATTCACAAAGCTTATTGTTAAACGGGGTAAGTGAAGTACTCTACCCATATTTTTACATCAAGCATTGTTTCAGTAAACGTGTCAACAAAATACCTTTTATCCCTTTCAAGCACAAAACAACTTTGAAAATACATCGAAAATCCACGCCACGAACTAAACAAAGCCTCCGATAAAAACGTCAATCACGCCTCCAAAACATTGGATAGATTTGTTTTAGAACTTAAAATAAGACCGAATTCATTCTCGCTGAGAGTTGCGTGGTATAGATAAAACCTTCCATATAAGATATTCAAATCCCTTAAGTGCACGGAGCGGTTGAAATGCGGGAAAAAGTCCCATTTTGAAGCGTTGTAAAACTCTTTATTATTCTAGCTTGCCAGGTGTCTCCGGAGATACAATGGGGCTTGACGGCCCAGTAGTGGGTATATACGCGTTAAAAGGTTCGCTATTGCCTCGCTGATGTTGATTTGGGAACTGATTTAACAAGAACGATTGACGGGGCTTTGGAACCGTTAATAAAACATGTTAGAGGACTGCTGATGGAAAGGGGAGATTTAAATTGCTATAACTGTAGTATAGTCGATGTGAGTTCATTTCTTATTCACTACTTCGACTTACTTATAGACGACTTTGTGGTAGCAATTAAAAACTTGAAAAAAAAAACATTAATGTAAACGCGAGGGTGTACAAGTACTTTTTCATACTAAAAGTAGTGGACTCATTTTGATATAATTTTCTAGTAGGTACTATTTATCGAAACCGGCGTAAATCAAGCCCTAGTAACAAGTTAATTTAATAAAAACTTTTTATGAACATGATGGAAGAAGGAAAAAGGATGAAATAAGTGTTAGCATATTTCATTGACTGGGACTTACATTATATTTTTGGTGAGACTATCGACTCGACATTTGAAGCAACGGGGTTCCTCCCTAATACTGGTTCTATATTTTGAGGTCTATCTATCACTGAGGCTCGAGGAAGTGTCTTGCAACGGGCAAAAGAGATGGATAGATTTGAAAATACGGAAACAACGTTAGAAAACAGCCCCGTTTAGTGTCAGTTATAGCGACAGGTATATTTTTGTTGCAAAATCGCCCTTATTGCCATTCCATAAGACCTAAAATTGTTTAGCCTTGTGCCTTCGACTAAGTATTCTTAGAATAGATATTGTACGCCTGAGCGTGTAAAGTCTGATGACGCCGATGACTGTACTTTGCGATAAGATTAAATTGTATCATCATCAATAGTAAAGCCAATTTAAACCCTTTGTGCCACTCTTTAAAATATTCTATTGTTTCCTCCATGCTAGTATTGGCATTTAATCCTAGGACCACCACTGCTCTCATACTTCAGTATGCTCGCTAGCGACACTGAATGTATGACAGATTGTTAAGCGCCCTTAGCGGCTAATTTCAAGAACTAAAACTTCATAGATTTTTTGACGCACTCGCTAGCGAGCACTCCTAACGTAAACTCATGGTAAGTAAACTGAAGAAAAATAAGCAACTCCACAACCCTTGTCCCATTACACAACATCAACACTGTAATGTCATATTCCCGAGCCGGAATAGCAAACAACGGAGACTTTTACGATACAATAAATTTTTAACACGCCAAAAAGACACCCTTTGAAATGGTGCCCTCAATGAGAATGAACTCAAGTAAGTGTGTTGATAATGTTTGGGTGATAAGATTTCGGGTGAAATATACTGAGAAAATATGTTCGTTGTTCTCAGGTTTTTCAGATTTTCGTGTCATATTTTTGTTTATTTTAAAGTTGTGGCACTATCAAGAAGATTAACACTTACAGATTATTTTAATTAATGCAGAAAGCTTACAGATCTTCTTTAGCAAACCGATAGGCCTCCATAATAAAACGTTTGTCTATTGATAAGGTAGGTATTTGTTTCAGCCAAATGATGTCCACTGCTGGACAAAGGCCTCCCCAAGGATTTCCACAACGGTCGGTCCTACGCTGCCCACTTCTAGGTACCTACTTTCCACGACCTTCACCAGACCTTTCGGTCGACCTAGTGGGAGACCTGCCCATATTACGTCTTCCGGCTCGTGTTGGCCACTCGAGAACTTTTCTGCCCCAACTCTGGGTCTCTCTCTTTAAATTATTTATTTCTTTATTTTATTATCTGTCATCATTGGAAAGCCCTAGAGTCGACACTTAACCCTTCTATTTTAATCTGATTAATTTACTTCTAAAATCAAGTGGCAGTGGGCGGGGCACATAGCTCGTAGAGACGATGGCCGTTGGGGCAGGAAAGTTCTCGAGTGGCGACCACGGGCTGGAAGACGTAGCGTGGGCAGGCCTCCTACTAGGTGGACCGACGATCTGGTAAAGGTCGCGGGAAGAGCCTGGATGCGGGCAGCGCAGGACCGTTCATCGTGGAAAACCTTGGGGGAGGCCTTTGTCCAGCAGTGGACGTCATTTGGCTGAAACAACAATTTACTTCTAGCGGGGATAATGACTGTTTAACTTTCCCCTAGGAGTTATATAGGCCTCACTTGTTGCGTAGTTATTGGCGGTCGAGCTTTAGATAATAGACCCCTTTCCTTCCAAAAACCTGGTAACATTTTGTTGCCTTTCTATTTAATAGCATAGTATAATAATGAGTATCTAATAGTAGGTAAATCACTGACTTAATGTAATGAATAAATTACTTCTGAAGAACAATAAAGAAACCTTCCAATTCCAAATGGTATTTACTTTCAATATAAATCTTAGACAATTATAAGAACTTTTAAGTATGTGTGCCGGACGGTATGGGGTTGCAACCCTGTGCGGACCCTTGATACCGTACGCCGACACGGCGCGATGCGGGGTGCAGCGCGAGCGGGAGAGCGAGACGAAGGGGGCGGGGAGCGCAGAAATGATAACTCGGTTGTGGTTGAGACTGTGACCGGTTCCTCGGAGCANTACAATTGACCCTAATTATTTATACCTACTACTGCTTCGACCTTTTAAGATTTTTTCATAAGCCTGTTCATAAAGAAATAGATCCGTTGATCCGCGATCCGTACCTACTTTTGACTCTACGCCGAGGCATCTAAAACAAAATGTGCATTTAGGTACTTATATCACCTTTTTATCTACTTATTTAATAAAATACATTAAGTATGTATCTAATTAATGCTTAATGCATGCAACTATGAATGAGCCTAGACTATATTTTCAGTAGGTAGGTATGCCTGTAATTGTAAAAATATAATTGTAAAAATGTAAAATAACCACGTGAATGTTTTATAATAACTTATCTTATTATAAGTATAGGTACTTTAAAACCAATTTAAAATATTATGTAGTAAGTATAAAATAAGGTTCCGGGGGTTAATTGTACCACGGGGTTGATTGTACCGCTACAATTGACCCCATGGAGACTGGTACAATTGTTCCAAGTAGGTAGTCAAGAGAACTTCACCTAAAATTCAGTCATTTTCACAGTGAATGCCAATAATTCGCTGTCATTACAAAGTTTAGAGCCTGGATAAACTATTGACAACAATACTTTGGTAACAAATAGCATATTAGGCAACTTATGGGCTCATATATTTGACATAAAAACTTACTGCGGCTGGGCAAAAAACAAAAATCATTCCTGTACACCTTCGTTTCTCAGCACAAGCGCCGCCGACTGGTGAGCGGATGGAAACACAAAAAGCGCATATTCTGACGCTATGCACACAATCTAACGTCGCTTGTATGAAGAAATATCGCCGATGGTACTATTGACCCGTGGTACTATTGTACCCGGTCTCCCCTATGTATTTCAAAAGGATAAATAAATAGCTGATTTCAAAGGGACTAGGATTTTTTACGAAGTTAATAGTATAATAGAAGCTACTCTGGTGCTCTTCTGACTTAGAAAATCTTTCTAGATGATAAAAATAAAACTTACCTTCATAAATAACGCCTACAACGACCGTCGCAGTACCAGCTAAGTACCGGCGTTCCTTGAAGCAGACGGCGGCGCGCGCGCAGAATATTATGAAGTATAGTGTCAGGATCGACAGGTGGGACACGTACCACAACGAGCAGAGGAAGATGTTGCCTTTTGTCTGGCGACAAATAGTACAGTTATTGGTGTATCAGGTAAGACCATCTCCAGTTGTAACGGGTGAGATTTTGCAACAGAAATGGCGTTATAGACTAATGTCTAATGTACCTAGTTCAAAATTAGGTAGATCTACAACTCGATCGAGCTAACTGCGCAACTCACTGGAATGCGAATCTCCCTTCCACTAACCCGCACACGTCCCCGCGTTTGCTCCGTCCGTCACAACGTCACAGTTAACTCGACGGGGTTGTAATATGTTTAGACGGGCTTACCTACTGATGCCATCACTGATGATGGCTATTAGAAATATTAAGCTCGTCAAATCGACCAGACTTGTTCGAAATGAAAAATGTTGATTTGCATCATCGGTGCATAAAATAATCAAAACTTAAGCTAACATTATGTTGCAAGATATTGATTTATAAACAGTAGGTACTATAATAGTGGATATTTTTTCTTACCTTCAACGCCTGCCAGAGCAGCAGCGAAGCCACCAGGATCTGGTAGAGAGAGATGCACACCGTCACAAGTCCGAAGACCATGTTCACGGCCAGCAAAGGTTCCGAGTTGAACAGCACGTCTGACACTGACATACGCACCACACTCGCCAGCGATATTAGAAGCGCGATCGATGATATAATCTGGGAGATATTATTATACTAGTTAGTGGTAAACTTCTTCCTCATAAAGGTAGCAGGAAAGCGCTGAATGCAGGCCTGAGGCTTATGTTCAGCAGTGGATGTCCTATAGCTGAAATTATGATGATGAATGGTAAACTTTACTGTATGAATGATATCAAGACACATCTGGCCTGGATTTATTTTACTATCAGCGAAGGTTAAGAGTTGAACACTGACATGCGTGCCACACTCGCCAGCGATGTTAGAAACGCGATCGCTGATATTATCTAGGACATATTAATACATGGTAAAGTAAGCTTTACTTGAATGGCATCAATCCATATCTGGCCTGGATTACGATTATTTCACTATCAGAGAAGGTTAAGAGTTGAACAGCACGTCTGACACTGACATACGCACCACACTCGCCAGCGATATTAGAAGCGCGATCGATGATATAATCTGGGAGATATTATTAAATTAATGGTAAACTTCTTCCTTATAAAGGTAGCAGGAAAGTGCTGAATGCCGCACCAACCATTGTGAGAAGCTTATATTCAGCAGTGGATGTCCTATGGCTGAAATGATGATGATGAATGGAAAAATTTACTATCGAATTGAATGGCAAGACACATCTGGCCTGGATCAAGATTATTTCCGAATTCCGTCCACTGCCGGACAAAGGTCTCCCACGGACTTCCACAACATCCGGTCCTGTGCTGCTCGCATCAATCATTGGCATCAATCGCGACCTTCACCAGATCGTCGATCCACCGAGTGGGAGGCCTACCCACAATTTTCCGCTCTGGGAGATAGTAAGGTACCTAAGTTACAATGTCGAACATCAAGCCTATCTGTCCTGGTACAAGATCATGCCCACATTCATTAAATTATAATGTACAAGAATATTGACAGAAATATTTACATACGATTAATTTACCAATGAAGCAATCCCGATGTACAATACTCCGTGCCACAGGCTTCTGCCACACATAGTTTTCACTTCACAACAATTGGAGTTGATCACAAAACCCGGCATTATACTAAAACTGAAATAAAATGTAAAATATTAAAATAGTTGGAAACCTTCACATCAAAACTGAACTGTCATAATAAATCAATGTCAAAAATGATTAATGTGTTTATTACCAATGTCAAAATATAAAAAGATTGTGTTAAGATTATTTTATTAATGATTTATTTTTCATGTTTCAGCCACAGGATCTCCACTGCTGAACAAGACCTCCCCCAATGATTTATCTACATATATTGGCCGGTTGGTAGAGCAGCGGCCTGCAATCTGCATCCAGCGCGAGGTCTACGTCCTATACGAGGTCGTCTGTCTACTTTGTGGGTCTACTTCTGCGTAGTAAGACGCAGATGCTAGGGATTATTGTTACTAATTTTAATTCGTTTTTAGAGGGGATTTTTTAAAATCGTAGACGTCTTATAATCTCTACTACCTTTATCCCTGCTCCGAGCGTTCTTTAATAAAAATTCCAAGAACTGATCCGGAATAAATAAAATGTAATTTTCGTAGGTACTTATTATGAAAATAAATGTGCTAATTTTTGAAATTGTTTCCTAATGCAAAATAGGTTACGGCGTAACAATCAACAAATTTACATTTTACAGTCGAAATAAAACGAATATTTCCATAGAAAGTAGCCCGTTATATGCTGGGAACACGTGACGTAAAGTAATAAAATGTAAACATTGGTTCTCAAGCTTGACAATGATCCAAATGGATTTAGAAGATGGGATAATTTATGTAATATTATTTTATCCACAACGAGGAAGTTCTTGGCCTTATGGAAAGTAATGCTCAGGCCAAGTGGAAGCGAGCTTCGCCTGGAATCCTCAACCACAGAGGAACTGGCTGCCCTATCTTATTTGGACATTCATTCCGGATACTTTGGCTGCCCTATTCATTCCGGATACTTGTAATGACAACGGAGAGGGTAGGAAGTATAACACATAAAAGTATAACTGTAACTGTAACATTAACTGATTTGAACTGAATTAAGCATTTTAATGTTGCGTTTCTATGATAGGTACTGGTACACTGTTTGAGAGCCAATGTAACACGATTCTCTTTTTGTGCGCGGAATTTGTAAAAATGTTAAATATTATGTAGACACATTGCTGATATTATGCGGCCCAATGTATTCGTGTCGGAGGGTAGTATTCGTTACATGTGGGATTTAAAACAATCCTAAAATTAATCCACTCAACAAATTCTGTAACAGTTGACTACCCTACCTACTTTAGGTCCTTTCGAGTTTTACATTGTGACTTAATCTTTCGGTTCTCTAATGTTTTCAGTGGCACATAAAGTAAGTGACGAAAACTTTAGTTTTTCCGAATAGAATCGACTTTATGACTTAGTACCCCATTAACCCATGATTTATATTATTTTTTTAGTGCTTTAACAAATAGGTATCAGTCTTGAATAGATATTCTTGAGTTGATTATCTTGAGTGTCTTTTCAAAATATGTAGTATAATTACCTACATATTACTTTGAATTTTCAGGAACAGTTTCCCAACTACTTAACTACAAGACGAAATGCATCAAGATTGTCTGGTTCAAGTAAGTAAAGTACCTAATTCTTAAGTAGTTTCACCGCAAGCACACTCATTTCAAACTCATCTGCGGCAGAACCTGTACAAACACAGAATAATCTGCGAAATACCTCAAGTGGGTTGTCATTAAACTTTTTCGTGTTTGTAAAGACTCGGAAAAACGTAATGGCCCTGTCCTAATAGCGGCCATTTTACTTCCAAGTTGTGTGCTTATTTCACTCCATGTTTATTGTTGGAACGCACGATTCAGGATAGATCGGAGTTTTACGTCCTACATTTGCATTTTATTGCTAAGAAATTGATAGTAAACTAAATAACTAGGCTTATTTCCATATTTATTTATTTATTTATTTATTATTCATTATTGAGCAATTACATATTTGATCCAAATAGCGTCCTAAATCCTTTTTAGGTTTGTCTAGACACTATTGTTCTCTATACAAATAAAAACAAACGTTTTAGTATAAGCATTCACAACACTTTCAGATATACAAAATATTATTTTAGCGAGTGCGCACTACGATGACGAAAGACTCGATATGGGTAATTGAGTAATTTATAGGTAAGTAAGTAAGTGTAGGTATGTAGGTAAGTAATTAGTCTTCATCTAATAGTAAGTGTAATTAAAACCACCACTACGGAATTTTGGACTGTGTTCAGCACTATAATTTAACCCTTTCAGATTTTGGTACCATGCACAATAATAGGCTAGATGACAAAATTTTAATTATTTGTCCGTCAGACAGAAAATATAGTTAAGTATTGGTACCTAGGTATGAGTCCGCCTCTCCTTCTGCGAAGAGGTGATGTTGCAGAAGGAGACCGCGGAACGGGCTCGGGAAGAGGATCCCGAAGCCCACGCGCTCCGGCGCAGACGGCCGGGAGGAAGGAGGAGATTCGCTCGCCTCCCTCCCCCTCCCTAGGTGAGACCAGCGGGTGTCAGGCCGGGGGGAGCATCACCCACATTGCACGGTCCCACCCTGTCTGGGGGGGTCTACCAGTGTACCGGCAGACCCCCTCTTTAGCGCGGGAGGCCCGGCAAAGGCTGGGCTATGCGTGGGTACGGCGTGGTTGGAATCGCAAGCAACCCGCGTCGTACCAGTTATACGCAGAGGGTACACCGCAGGTTTTTAGTGGGTATACTTGTCGGGTGACAGCCGCTATTGCTGCCATCCGACAAGGGAGTCCCACATAACCCGCCGCTTCCCCCGAGGCGGCGGGTATACGCAAAGTACTTTCCTGCGCAAAAAAAAAGAAGGTATACCTAAGTCCGCCTAGCACCTCTCCTGCACTAATTAAGTAGGTACTTAATGATACCTGTTACATTTCTATGAAATCATAGGATTAGTTAATCGGCAACCTCCGAAAACTAGTCAGATAGCAAATAAAGATAGGTCTACAGAATTTCACTCTCCGTTCTGTGTGGTCTTAAATCGCGATCGTCGCCGAGCGTTCGATATCAGGCTCCATCACTAAACCCTCATTTCGACAAAACGATTTCTATATTTTCGGCACTCTCACTCACCCTGGTATACTCTAGCGAGCGAGGAAGACGTGAATAGTCGACAATATCGAATCAGTTTTCGAGGGTAGGACCTCCAAAACCGACGGCAGCCATCTTGGGTCACAATCAATGTCTGTTTATTAAGACAAACGACGCCGCCCCAGATAAGAGGGGACATCTAAACCCGGAATTCCGCAAGTGACAAACTATGTAAAAGATAAATTTGAAACGAGACTTGCCTGCTAAGTTTTGGGTTCAAAACTTTTGTAGCGAACACGCGCCTACTGCTTGAATAGTAAGAGTGTGTAACTTTACTGGAAACTTTATGGTTTATGAAACCCTACTTTTTAATAGGCTGAAAAAAATTACAACGGAACGTAATATTATGACTTTTTCCTCAATCAAAAACCACACACGATATATTTTTTTCAATAACTTTTCAATAGCTTAGCCTCTCTCCATCCAGAGGCCCTGGGTTCAATTTCCAGATGAAACACAAGATTTTTTTGTTCCCAATTTGGTTAGAACATAGGTCGGAAACATTTTCAAGTTTATTAGAACTCACTATATAAAGTTTCAAGCATAGATGGTCTTCCGACCCTATCTATAACAGAGAATCGAAAATCTTTGAAAGCGTCGTCACTGACGTCGTTTTACAATATCGATCAAAGGCTTTTCAGATTGTAAACCTAAGATTAATCACGTAAGTACTTTACTATGTAGACTACTCACAGAGTCATTACTTCATAAAGTAACCGAAGTAAAATTGGCTCCGTCTGTAATGATGTTGCCGCAAGTCAACTATGAGCGCATAGTCAAACAAATTGCATAAGTTCGCAACTCTTCAGGCGCCTCTCGGCTGAAAAATACTCGGCAACTTTCGTAATTTTAATAGCTTCTTGCTGGAAACAGTTGCGGAATAAATTGTTGGCAGACTGCTGAAAGGAAAGGTTTCTATGTAATAAGCCTTTTACTGAAATAAGTCAACTTTAGAAAACTGGAAAAACTTTTGGAACTTGTCTTTTCGTACATACCAGATTGCTATCGAATGATGGTAGGAAACGTTGCCTTACAAAAAAGTAGGTAATGTGGTGTGG